TAAAAGTCAAATACCAATATAAAGCTTAATAAATCTTCTGCAAAAGCTTTTGTCACTGTGTGATTTGGATAATTAGATCCTTTGTGAACTATTGAATTAAAATGTTAGAGAAAACAGTATTTATGTTAATAGATATTTAAACAGTATTTTTTCTAGCCCACCTCCATAACTTTCAAATAACACCAAATATTTACTCTTGTTGAGGAGACACCAAGACGATAGTCAGAAAGAGCTTGCTCTAGGGATTCATTTTCCTTATTCTGTCATGGAATAGACCATATGAGAGAAATAAAGGAAATCCTTGTTTTCACAAGAGGGACTGAGATCAGGTGATTATTTTGTCTAGCCTGTTCCCCAGCATTCAAGGGAGTAGGAGTTCAATTACCTTTAGAGAGAAGTTATTGCCCTTCCTTAAGTAGCACTGTGATATATTTTGCAGATAACACTCATAGGAATGAAACAGAGACGGCTTATGCTAAGGGCAGGCTGAATTAGGACTCATAGACCTGGGAGATTTCTCCTCTCAGTCCGTTTGCTGCTGTTCTCATTCTGAGGTCCTGCCAGTAGCAAGGTGAAACATGTGTCCCAAAGATACAAGCACAATTGACATGTGGCTCACTTGCACACGCCAAAACCAACAGTATGGCTTTTTCCATCACTCATGTAAACACCAGCAGTGCTCACATACACCTGAAGACAGGTAAACCAGGTTTCTTCCTTCTCTGTGTCTCATCAGATTTGAAACTAACTTGTGAGACATGCATATACCCTCACATTCTTAATTCCCAAAACTAGTATGGGCTTTAAGTCTGACACCCATGTCCAGACCATGGACCCTTATCCACATCCACTTAAAACATTCCATAAATTTTACACAATCTCATAAATCTCATAAAATATCCCCATTGTAGGTTTGTTCTTTCTCATGAGACCCATGATAATCCTGTTATCCTCCTTCATATCAGTTACAAAGTTCTAGTTGAGCCTCTCAGTAGCTTGCCAATCAGTGGTATGACAGTTCTAGTCTCTGTTATTTCTCCATTATATCCTGTTCCTATATCTGTGTTTAGATATCTGTGTGGTTAATTTATTACTTTTCCCATATTTTGGTTTTGTGTGAGTTTTTTTTTTATGTTGAATAGCTGTTAGTCATGTATCCTCAAAAACCAGATGTCCCATACATTTCAGGTGTCCACACAACCTCATGTTCCACATATACTTACAGATATCAAACTTGAGTTTATTCCTGAGTTTCTAAAAATATTATTACAATCATTAATAGAAGATGACATCAAGGAATGCATGAGAATACGACCACAAATGGAAATGATTCTATAGCTGCATCAGTGTAGGCTAACATCACTTGATCTACATTTGACAAAGACAGGGCTTCACAGACTGAGTAGTTAGCAGGGCCCATCAACAGTTTTTTGGTGTTTGTTTTTGGTTTTGGTTTTTTTTACTCTGATATTTATAACAACAGTGAAAGTGTATATGGAATAATTCACATTTCTTCCAGGGAGGGAGAAATGCAACTCAGTCAAGAGAGAGTAAAGAAACCCCTGGCATGGTTGAATGCGAAAAAAATCTGAAAAACCCTGGCAAACTACACTGGGTCTGTGGACACAGGAAGAAGGCTAATTACTTTCTTGATGCCTTCTCTGCAGGGAGGAATCTAGGGACCCATCCAGGCATCTAGAGGCTCTACTCAAGGAGGGCTTGTTGAAACACATCTTCTAGAGTGATGCCAGTAGAGAAGGTAGCTGCAAGAGGGAACTATACCTTCTGCTAAATTGATAGAAATCTGAGTGGGAAGCAATTCTACATTAAGTTTTCCGTTCTAGGCAACATACAGGGTAGATGAGTTGAAAGCTGAAAGCTGTGACCAGCCAGTTCTTCTCATAAAAACTAGTTCAGAAATTGCTGCATGAGCTTTTTAATTTAATTTAAGACCTCAGGACTGGCCCTCCTTTGTAGAGACTTCATGATAGGACAAGGTGTCATTGTCTTCTCTTGAAATAAACTTTAAATCAAACTACACAAGTACTAGGTCATATTCTGAAATTCTGGTTGGTGTCACAAAAGTGTGAAGTTGGGCAGTGGTTAGTGAATTAGCCTTCTCCAAGCAATGACTGCTAAAATAACTGATCAGACATAATGAAAATAAATAATTAATTCATTTCATTAAAAGTATTTGTATCATTTTTATGTAAGATTTTTTTCTGAACAGCTAGTGCATGTAGCTTCCCTCTTCACCTTTGTTTTAATCAGTAAATTACTTAGAATAAATGTCATCCCTCAGAATAGCTAAGAGACAAAAACAGCACTTTGTAAAAAAATTCAGATTTCAAAACTTGATCTTTCCCCTCACTGAAGGGTGGACTGTAGATCTTTTAATTATTGTTGCATTTTAGTTAAAAAAAAAAAAAAAAAAAAAAAAAAAATCATCACCCCAGAATACTCCATTACATGGTTGTAAATAACTCATTTAGAAATCAGAACCATAAATGGAAGTCCCAGATCAGAAAAGAACAAACAGAGAGATTCATTTATTTCTTCCATTGTTTACACTGATGCCCTAAACAGTAGGTAACTCTATGTGAGCCTTTCCTTCTCATTTCTATTATGGCTTTATAAAGCAGATATCTGTGCACTTCTGATTGTTTTATTACATTCATTATGAGTTTTTAAAGGGAAGATATGTTTATAACATCATCTTTGCCTTGAAGTTTTGTATAAGGAGGGCAGAAATTGCTAAAGAAATACATGACAGAAATAAATGAGTGGTCTTTCTTATCTTTCACAGACTTGCACAAGAAAAAATCAATGTACAAAATGCACTGCAAGAAATTTTAAAATCAGCATGGAAAACTTTTGTCAAGTATTTAATTATCACACTTTTTTAAAATATTCAATGGTAACTTGTCTAAAACATTGATAAAATACTATACTTTGTCCCAGAATAAGAGGGTGGATCTTCTATGTAGTATCTGATGCTGGCACTCTTTACAGTATCAGCTTATTGACTGTGCATCTGTGTGCCATCAGTCCTGGGATAAGTTTCTTGCCAAACCCTACATTTTCCTTTTTAATTATTAGAGTCAATATATTTTTAATTATTTTCTGTACCTTTTCTAAGACACTGTATCACTGTATCTCACTCCAAGCATGCCTTTCCTGAAATATTTGTGTCGTTCCTGTTTTACACCTCTTTTGGGGAGGTGCACTGGTGGAGCATATGAAGGTCGAGAAATGTTCTGTGAAGGTGAAAAAGAATTAATCACAACCATGACTAGTCAACAGCCTGAAGGAGGGAAATGAGATGTGCAGCATCTGTGGATCTCTACATACCTATGTTGTGTATGAAGTGACTAACAAACTATCAGGCACTATGTACTGAATGTAAAAATTAGCATGCAAAGCAGATGGGACACAAACATTTAAAAATCATGTTTCTAGCTTTTCAATCTCTTCTGATTATAATCTCCTTGAAAAGGGTAAGATTTATTCTGCATTTGTTATTTTAAAAAATCAGGAAAGCTGTAGAGTTATGTTCATGAGCACACAACCCCCAGTTGTAGATGAAATTGTGAAATTAACTTTCATTATTGAGTTCCAGCATTGAATCTTATGAACCTTCAAAGCCACATGGTGCAGAACAGAAGGTAAATTTACATCAATTAATTGTTTTATGAAAACCTGATAAAGAAGCACTCTCCTTGAACCACTTAGATTAATGAACCTAAATATAACACTTGCATGTATCTGTGTATATAGTTCTGTGTTAGAGGATATTAATGGCTACCATCAATCACAAACCTGGTTACAATTGATATGTGAACTACCTTCACTGAGACTAAATGAAAGAACAGTATAATGTTTCCTTTGTCTAGGAATAGCTAAAACAATAGAAGCTATGGATAAAAAATAAATTAAGGATAATATCATTGCAACATCCAGCAGCTAAGCATCTTGTCTAAACTAGCTGCTCAGCTTTTTCTGTGAATAAGAATATAAAGTAGATAGTTAATTCCCACTATCTCAGATAAGATAGGTAAGAAGAGCTTCATTCTGGAAGTACCTGTTTATGTCTATTGCCTACAAAACTGGGATTCTCAGGCACAGGTGGGATTCAGCTGCCCTAACTTAGATGTCTAGAAGCTGTGTAAGTTTAAGACAATTTTATGAATAGTTAGGTCAGTTAAGTCACTGTGAACAAGGAGATTTCAGCAGAGATAACAATGTTATAATGAATTTTCCTTTTAATGAAAATATTCTGACAATGACGTTGTCACATCCCACTCAGACGAGGGGGACAGGTGACTCAGATTCACAAATCCCCAGTGGAGCAGACAACAAGTCTCCAAGTCCAAACACTTATTAACTACCCACAATGTACTAATTGAACACACGATAATTGGCTAAGTGTATAGCAAGTTGTGGCAAGCAATACAATATGCCTTGCATTTCTTAATGGAAAAGGAAAAGAGGGAGATAGAGGGAATAGGGAAATAGAGATCACTGGGTTTCTATGCTGATCCCACCAGTGAGAGTTCCAGGAGGCAGCTGTCTTTTTTTCTTGCATCTGTCTTCTTTGCTTCACTGCAGTCTCCAGGCCCTCCCCATTTTCTTCCCCCCCCCCCTTGATTTATACCCACTTTCCTTGAGTCTGTCCCCTAGGTCGACCCACATACCCACATATCCCATGTACGGGGAGGGGTAACGTGTTTCATGGGATGATGTAATTAGCATGATCATGTTAACCTTCATTAGCATATTGAGGGGTGTTAACTTTAATATGCATTTCGTGGATAATGAAGCAAAGTTCATTCACAGGACAGATGGCCCTTGAAATCTGCCCAGATGCCCCAGAGCAGGGCTGTCCTCTCTCCACAGGGCTCCCTCCTTCAGCTGCATCTTGTGTTATTCGGGCAGCGTTATCAGCTTCCACCTCCACACCATTCACCCTGTGACACATAGTTTTGTCTTGCGAGTGTTTGAGACATTTCTTCAATCAGCCTCAACTTTTGCTTTTTCAGGCTGTTTTTCTTAGTTTTTCACAGGCCTGGTTTCTCATCTCTCACATCCCACCCCATGACTCAAACACTCCAAGTTCTTCTTTGACCATTGTGATCTCAAAAGGTATAGGGTAAAAGAAGACTGAAGGTTAGAGAGCATATATCTCATTGCTGTAAGGCATATTAAAAGCAAAAATTTGCATAATATCACAATACTAATGTTTACAAGCCATCTTCCCCACCCCATGAGTCCTGAGGATCCCAGTGATGTGACCCATGACCCAGGGTTCCATCCATCAAACCAGTCCATCAGTTGAAAAATTTCTCTATTCCTGTTGGCAATCCTCCTCATCATGGCACGGGTCTCCTCTATAGAGGTGGTGGATTTGTGGATGTTGATGAAGCATTCTCCTGCAGTTAGACTCAGCACACCACACAGTCCATGTTCCTTTAAGAATGCTAACTGGATTCTACACCACTATCTTAGATGTTTCTTGGGTCTGCACCTTTAATTCCCTATAGGCATACCTTGCTAGTACATATTGATTGCCAAGTTAAAATTTCTAAAACTATTTGAGGTTACACAATCACATTAGCAGGTCGATAAGTATTTAAATGGGAATACAATTTAATATTCAGGTACAATTAATTAATAATTTGTAGGATCAGACGTGAGTCTCTATAACATGAGTCAATATATGCAAAATTTTTTGAAACTGTCTTTCCTCCCTGATACTCATGCTTTCTCCTGATGTCTTCCCACTAAAAGCTGAGGAAGGGTCCATCAGAAGGAGATATGGTGAAGCAGGGGTTACCTAGTCACATTGCAGTGAGTTCTACCTCCTCCATTTTCCTTCAGTCCTGCAGTACAAGGTTCATAACTTTAGATGGTATCAAGAAGTGTTTGGCCAGTTCCCAGTTTTTGGGTACCTGCTCTAATAGCTACAGAAACGGCTTTACTTTAAAAAAAAATTTGCGTATATATATGTGTGTGTGAGTGTGTGTACATGACTGTCATCATACACATGCACATGTGTACACATACATATATTTGTGTTAAAACAATCTTTTATTTTCTTTACAGCAAAGCACAAGCAGTGTGGTAAATTAGGTGATCAGGGTACTAAAGGAGGACACTAAATTTCTGACTTCAGAGACTTCTGTCATACTCCTGACTCCAAGATTAAGTTGTTTACATTGTTTCCTCTGCCATAGTGCTCTTTTTTTGTGTTTATTCATAACATAATTCTTTGGGTACCAAGGACTGAGTCTTATTCTTAATCTAATTTAAGTTTACAGGTCCAAGTACCTACACCTGAGCCTGTTCTAGTCATTCTGACAGGGAGAAATAAGCAGCACCGAGGTAGATAATCACTTATCAAACAACCACATCAGGTCATATGACCTTGATTTCAGTTGATAATTCCTTACCTTCAATTATTTATCAAAACAGACAAACATGAGTTAACTGCCATGCTAGCAAACTGCCCTTCACAGATGGCAGTAAACAGAGAGTGCCGTAATGCACATTACCCCTCAAATGTGGGAGAAAACCATGCACCACAGCTGAGAGGCAACAGCAGAAGGGAAGCAAAAAGTGCCCCATGGTTTATTAATAAAGAGGCGCTTACTGTGTTACATGAAAGATCGTCTGCTGGGATTTCAGAGACAGTTTGTTAATGCTGTATGAATAATAACCTGGAGATTCATAACCAAATATCAGAGACACAGCTAGTCCTAAATCAGTGTCTTGAAGTAACCAAATGGGGAACAATGCTTCAATAATTCTGCTCCAGATATTCTTTCCATCTAATTGCTCATTTTCCAGAAACTGCAACAAAATACTGCACTATTAGTCACACTGTTCAGGAATCAGTCCCATAACGTGTCATTAGACATCTTTCTATGTTATTCTTCTCTCCTCTATTAATTGAAAGGTATTCTGGTTGGACAGTGAAATGAACTATTATTTAATGCAGATTTACAGTGGGAGTTATTAGCCTTATTTTTTCATGTACCAGATAAGTTGGTATGATTCTACAAAATCTTACACAATCATCTCCTGGTAAAATACTGTGTTTCAACTTTATTTTTCTATAGAGTTTTAAGAATTAGATTCTGATTGAAGTGATAGGGGTCCTGTATGACTGTCAACATTTACTCTTTATTCTAGGTAAATTAATATTTTCTTGGAGTTTCCTGTATGTTTGCAGATGTCTTCTTTTTCAGGGGGCAATTATTCTGTGTAAAAATGCATGAGATGTATCAGTAGTTGTGACCTCTCTGTCATTGGCCCTTGCTGATAAATTTCTCAAAGGAACTCTGTCAGCGGATTGGGACTGAGGGAGGCTAAACTTTGTGGAAGGAAATCTATCACACAGGGAACTGTGCTTAGAGCTTGCTTATTATAAGACATGAAAAATAAATGGTTTGAGTGTGAAGCATATTTTTTCACCCAGAGGATGACTTGGGGCATAATGGACTGCATTCAGGAATATTCTGTTATTTTAGTCAATGTTTTATGTATTTTCTTTCATTTTCTGCCAAAATATAGTCCTAATTTTTCAGGCATTTACTTTTAGTCAGAAAATAACATTTAGAAATGCAGTGTATTTCACACCTTCTAGCTTAAGCCCTGGAACTTATGTCTTTGTCTAAAACAGAAAGTAAGTTTTAAACTACCAAGAAACCCACCTGATGTATTGGCAAAGCATCTCATTGTAGCTCAATATACTACACATAGGGCTCAGCCCCAGAGGATTTAGTGATTGAAACAGTAAGAGAATGAGATTATTACTTACAAAGAGTAAAAGTAATGGATAAGTACTGGAAGGACTGGAATTGAACTTCTTTGTCTCTGTATAGTCCAAAATGTATTGCAGAGGAGAATAAGAAGACACCACAGACTTCTTAGCACCCAAAAAATCCTGCAATATAAATTAAATAGTAGCCATGTGAAAACATAGTAGGGTGGTATATTGCCTCTATCTAATCAGACAACTAACACGAGTTCATACTGGCACTGAAGACATAAAATGAAGATTAAAATGGAGGACAGCTTTTCCATACAGCAATTAAGAAAGCCAACAATTACTGAGTAGTGGGAAACTGAAATACCATTTCAGATTAGAATCTTTAGCAGGGGAAAAAGAACAAAATTAAAAGGTGGCAAAACATTCTACAGTTATTCAAAACAGTATCTAGTTGTCTAGTTTCAAATACCTTTTGCCTTTTGTTAGAAATTAATCACTCAATATAATTTTTACCACGGTCTGTAGTGATAGGACAAGGGTAACAGTGTTAAAGTTAAAGAGAGTAGATTTAGATTAGAGGTAAGGAAGAAATTCTTTGCTATGTGGGTAGTGAGACAATGCCAGAGGCTGCCCAGAGATGTTGTGGCTGCCCCCTCCCTGAAAGTGTTTAAGGCCAGGTTGGACGGGGCTTTGAGAAACCTGGTCTAGTGGTGTCCCTGCCCACTGCAGGGGGAGTGGCACTAGAAGATATTTAAAGGTCCCTGCCAACCCAAACCATTCTATGATTTTACATACCTGATGGCAATAAAATTTTATATAAATCCTGCAGTATCATTAAAGTGCATTTCATCAGTGTACATATGACTATTTGTATATACACTCACAGAGTCCCTCAAAAGAGGTGAATTTGTCTGTTATTTAATATTTTGAGTTAAACTACATCCAATGTCTTTAAGAGCCTTATGATTTAAAGCCACCTCTCAATTAAGAGCTTACCTCTTCCAATTTGAAAGATGTTGCCAAAATGATAATGTTCTTTTAAAGTTGATCTGTGTGACTATGGGGGATAAGTATATGTGATTTTTTAAAAAATTTGAAAATACCATGTCTATCTGACTAATATAGTAAAAATATTTACAAAATTTGACATTAAAATGCATAAATATTTGTAGGAACAAAATTTTAATCTGTATCCTATACTTGATTCAAATGCAGAATACAAAAATACAGAAATAGATGACTAGAAAATAAAAATTTTAATGTGTGACACTAATGAACATGTTTTTTAAGTTAAAATATGTAATTTTTAATACATTTTCTATAAGCTGATTTTGTTAGAAAAGTTATTGTCTTGGTTTCATCCAGGATAGAGTTAACTTTCCTTGGGCTGAGAGCGAGCATAGCTAGAGAGCTTGGCTCAGATCAATCATGGGAGTATTTCATATCATATGATGTAGTGCTCAGTATATAAGGGGACACGTACTCTCTCATTTTTGGTTTCGGTTTGGGTTGCCTGGTCAGTGGCAGGATTTCTGGTGTGGTTGGGATCGCTGCTGGGGGTGGGCTGCATACCAGTTGCCAGCTGGTGAGCCACTGCTGTATTTTACTTGTTTGGACTTACTATTGTTACTGTTGTTTTGTTAGTACTACTATTTTTTTTCCTCATTCAATCTACAATTATTAAAAAAAAAATAAAATTTATTACCCTATTTCACGGGGGAAGTGGATTGGGGGGGGGGAAGTAAACAACTGGTGATACAGAGAAATTATTACTTGTTTTGAGACTTATCTGCTTACTTATAGAAAACTGATTAGCAACTTATTTACTTACTTATAAGAAGTTATAGTATTACTTATAGTATTTTTATTATTGCTAAGAATCCTGCTTGCCCAGACTTTTCTGTGGAATTTTACCAAGGGCTACTGTGTTCATCAAAACAAAGCAGTTCACTGTGAAAATCTACCAAGGACTATAATGTTCAGCAAAATATTAAAGTTTTGTCCTTGAGGAACAGGTGTGTTCTAACTAGTTGGAATCTTGGTAATGAGTAAAGATAGCTATATACGGATGGTAGAAGTTCCATTGGTTCTCTTAGATAAGATAGATGAGTAAACTGGCTGAAAAACACTCTTGTTATTCAAGAAATTGGCCGAGAGAATCTGTGCATGCTCTGGGAAAAAAACAAGGTGAGAAAGACTACGAGCCTTCCTCCCAAAGACCTGCGAAGACACCACCAGGAGGCAACGTGTAGGTGCAAAGAGAACATAAACTGTTGACATCAGCCTTTTGTTCTAACCCAGCCTTACTCATGCATATGTATGTTTGTGTTATGTAATCCAATGAATATGTATGTTCACACTCTAAGTTTTTAGTAAAATGTGCAATGGGTGTGCAAGCTTTGTGGAGAAATCCCCTTGCACCCCAGCGCTGGAGTAAACATACCTGCTTTATAGCTCTATTCGAGTTGTAGAGTCTTTTTTCCGCGAATCACTGGCCACGTGGTGATTGGCTATCAGCTGAGTTCAAACCATGACAGTGTTTTGGCACCCAGTGTGGGGCCTGAGGTTTGAGATAATGACAGATCAGGTCATAATGTTTATTGCTTGGCTCCTTGAGATTTTATCACCTCACTTGCAGTATGTATTTCCCATGCTGTTGCTCACCGTCCGTGAGAGCTGGGTTAAGATTTTGGTTTTGCTGTACTGTGTGATGCTGATCTATGATAGGGTGCAGTTGTTGGCCCTGAGGCTATTTACAGTTGTGTTTGAGAAATTCAGAAATTTCAAATATCCTTGGAATGTTGACATTAATGCGGTCGCCTTGCTGCTAGGAGCTAGTGTGTTCCTGATGTGGTTCATGTTTTGTTCAGGGTTAAGAAACTATTTAAGGGTATCACCTGGAAATCTACTGCAAGGTAGGAGAATGATGAGTGGCTGGGGGTGTGGAGTAGCATGGGCAAGTACCTAGGACAGTGGGCACCTCCAGTGTATTGGAACTTCACTACTTCATAGTTTATCATGAACCTTAGATGAACTTTGCTTCACTATAATACCAAAACACACCTCCTGGTGGAAGGCTGCCTGCCTCCAAGACTGACCATGCCTCAGACACTCCCCGCTGTGCTTGTGCTATGGCCTTGCTTGAGAAGGGCGGAGATATGACAACTGAATTCTGAGAAGGGCTGAGACCCCTGAGGCAGACATGGAGCAAGATGTGTTACTGAGAATAAAATGATGACTTCTGGGCAATGAAAATTGTAAGCTTCCTTACCAAGGATCATAATGATCAACAATGCAGCATCAGCTGGACCCCGGACCAGTGGGACGTCGTGAGGTCAGCAGTGTTAGATATAACCTCTCTCCCTCCTCTCTCTAAACTTAACTACTTTTCTCCTTTCTTTCACCCTTCTCTAACTATTGCACGCCTCTTCATGGGCAACACAATAGTTTCACTGTTTGATTACGTCTATCGCCTTTGGTGCTGGTCGCCTTAATTTTGCACTTTTGATATCGTAGCAAATGAACCATCACGAGTCCACCGAATGGACCATGACATCCTATGAGAAGAACTTCTGATCTGTATCGTGTATGCAAGTGAGTGATCAAGATGGGACTGAAACCTGTGCACACCACACTAACTCATTTGCTGTTAAAAGGTATTATGAACAACATTAGAGGGGTCCTGCCTCCAGCCAGGTGGAGGACAGGGACAACGGAGTTTACTGGCCTGTGTGGATTTGATGGCCTGGCACATTTGACCCCCAGCAGTATGAGGCTCTAGTGGACACTGGTGCGCAATGCACCTAATGCTGTCAAAATTTAAAGAGGCAGAACCCATTTGTATTTCAGTAGTGGCAGGGGGGTGTCCTGATCCAATGTCAGGGAAGGTTTCAATATGATCACAAGAATGAGATTAAGACACAAACAAGGTCAAATGCCGTATACCACAAACCGGTTTTCATTATTAAAAAAGTGAAGAGGGCTAGCAGTAGGACAGAATGGAAGGAAAAGACAGAAATAAAGCAAGGATGCGGGATAGGGCTGCAAGAATAGTCACCACTATGGATCCAGCGGCATCCTGTTGGTCTTCAGTCTTCAGTTTTTCGGTGGTGGGTTCACACAGATCTGGCTTCAATGGTGGATGCACAATGAGCAAAGTTTTCTGTTGTCTTTTTAAATTCATCATATACACTGATTAGCATATCTGCCAACCTTTAGGGTTTTTTTCTCTGGTCCCACAGGTTTTTGTTGCATTCAGCTTCTGGGCAGAAACATTTGCCTCTTATCAATTCATTAGCAATGCACCCATGGGGTCTGGCCTACACAATAGAGCCACAAATGGCTACACGATGGGTCCAGCTCAGCACACCTCTGCCCCTTTGAGGCTTGTCTAAGGAGTCTGACAATGCAACTGCAAAGAAGTGGGGGGGTGCATCCTTCAATACACTCCTGCTTCCTTGGGCGACCCTTCCCAGATGAATTCACAGGCTGCAGCACTTCTCCTTGAGGTCTGCACAGACACAAGAAAGCTTTGAGACAGTCATATGACATTTCAGTCTCTCACAGGGTCTCAACAGCTGACTGTATTGGAGGTCAAGGTGAGCCTAAGTGGAAAAAACACACCATTGTGACTGACTCAGAAGCTCCATGTATTCTTAGTATAGATTATCTCAGGAGAGGGTATTTTAAGGACCTAAAAGGTCCTTAGCTGCCTTGGAAACAGAAGAAATGAAACAGCTATCTGTGTTGCCTGGTGTCTCAGAGAATCCTTCTGTTGTGGGATTGCTGAGGGTTGAAGAACAACGAGTGCCAATTGCCACTACAACCGTGCACCGATGGCAATACCACACCAATCGAGATGCTGTAATCCCTATCCATAAACTGATTCATCGGCTAGAGAGCCAAGGAGTGATCAGTAAGACGCATTCCCCCTTTAACAGCCCCATATGGCCAGTGTGAAAGTTTAATGGAGAGCGGAGATTGACAGTGGGCTATCGTGGCCTGAATGAAGTCACACCACTGCTGAGTGCTGCCGTGCCAGACATGTTGGAAATTCAGTATGAATTAGAGTTGAAGGTAGCCAAGTGTTATGCCATGTTTGATATTGCCAACGCATTTTTCTCCATCCCTCTGGCGGCAGAATGCAGGCCACAGTTTGCTTTTACCCGCAGTGGTGTCCAATACATCTGGAATTGACTGCCCCAGGGGTAGAAACAGCCCCACCATTTGCCATGGACTGATCCTGGCTCCACTGGAACAGAGTGAACCCCGGAACACTTACAGTACACTGATGACATCATTATATGGGGTAATACAGCAGAAGAAGTTTTTAAGAAAGGGAAGAAAATAATCCAAACCCTTCTGAGAGCTGGTTTTGCCATAAAGCACGGTAAGGTCAAGGGACCTGCACAAGAGATCCACTTTTTTGGAGTAAAATGGCAAGATGGATGTCGTCAGATGCCAATGGAGGTGATTAATAAAATAACATCTGTCCCCATTGACTAACAGAAAAGAAACACAAGCTTTCTTGGATGTTGTGGGTTTCTGGAGACTGCACATTCCAAATTACAGTCAGATTGTAAGCCTTCTCTATCAAGTGACCTGGAAAAAGAATGATTTTATATGGGGCCTGGAGCAACAACAAGCTTTTCAACAAATCAAACAGGAAATAGTCCATGCAGTGGCCCTCGGGCCAGTTTGGACAAGGCTAGATCTTAAAAATGTGCCCTACACTGCAGCCAGGAAGAATGGCCCTACCTGGAGTCTCTGGCAGAGAGCACCAGGGGAGACTCGGGGTCGACCCCTGGAGTTTTGGAGTTGGGGATACAGAGGATCCAAGGACTGCTACACTCCAACTGAAAAAGAGATACTGGCAGCACATGAAGGGGTCTGAGCTGCTTCAGAGGTGATCGGGACTGAAGCACAGCTCCTCCTGGCTCCCCGACTGCCAGTGCTGGGCTGGATGTTCCAAGGGAGTGTCCCCTCTACACACCATGCAGCTGGTGCCACGTGGAGTAAATGGGTCACATTAATCAGACAATGGGCTTGAACAGGGAGCCCCAGCCATCCAGGAATATTGGAAGTGATCACAAATTGGCCAGAAAGCAAAGATTTTGGAATGGTGCCAGAAGAAGAGGTGACATGTGCTGAAGAGGCCCAACCAAATAATGAATGACTGGATAAGGAGAAGCAATTGTTTACGAAGGGGACCTGTCACATTTTGAGGAAACATTGAAGGCGGAAGGCAGCTGTGTGAAGCCCCACAAGACAGATCACAAGCTGCTGAAGGAGAAGGTGAATCAAGTCAGTTCAGAGGTGAAAGCCATCCAGCTGGCCTTGGATATTGCTGAGCGAGAAAAGTGGCCGGTCCTCTACCTCTGTACTGACTCATGGATGGTGGCAAATGCGCTGTGGGGGTGGTTACAGCAGTGGAAACGGAGCAACGGGCAGCACAAAGACAAACCCATCTGCTGAATTATGGCAAGATATTGCTGCTCGAGTAGAGAATCTGGCTGTTAAAGTACGTCATGTAGACACTCATGTACCCAAGAGCCGGGTCACTGAAGAACATCAGAACAAACAACAGGCGGATCAAGCTGCTAAGATTAAGGTGGCTCAAGTAGATCTGGACTGGCAACATAAGGGTGAACAATTTCTGGCTCGCTGGGCCCGTGACTCCTCAGGCCATCAGGGAAGAGATGCAACATACAGATGGGCTTGTGACAGAGGAGTGGACATAAGCATGGATGTTATTGCACAGGTAATCCATGAATGTGAGACTGTGCTACGATCAAGCAAGCCAAAAGGTTAAAGCCCATTTGTTATGGGAGACGATGATTGAAATCTAAATATGGGGAGGCCTGGCAGATTGATTATATCATGCTCCACGAACTTGGCAAGGCAAACAACTGTGTGCTTACAATGGTGGAAGCAGCCACCAGATGGTTGGAAACTCATGCCGTGTCCCATGCCACTGCCCAGAACACCATTTTAGGCCTTGGGAAGAAAGTCTTATGGTGGCATGGCACGACAGAAAGAAATGAGTCAGATAATGGGACACATTTCCAAAACAACCTCATAGACAATTGGACCAAAGAAGATGGCATTGAGTGGATATATCACATTCCCTACCATGCACCAGCCTCTGGGAAAATTGAGTGCTACAATGGCTGCTAAAAACTGCACTGAGAGCAATGGGTGGTGGAACTTTCAAACACTGGGATGTGCATTTAGCAAAAGCCACCTGGTTAGTCAATACAAGCTGGCCCTGCTCAATCAAACCTCCTACATACTGTAGATGGGAATAAAGCCCCTATAGTGCACATTTAAAATATGCTGGGGAAGACCATCTGGGTTATTCCTGCATTGGGTAAATGTAAAGCAATGCGTGGGATATTTTTTTTCCAAAGGACCTGGGTGCACTTGGTGGGCGATGCAGAAGGATGGATAAGTCTGATGTGTGCCTCAAGGAGATTTGGTTTTAGGTGAAAATAGCCAGTGAATCAACTGTCAAATAACTGTTATAGCAATTGGTGCCCCACAACATCCTCCTGCCATATTCAAAGCCTCCTGTTCCACTGAGTGAGCCAACTCCACCTGACTCCTCCAGCCTTAAGACTGTCATGACAGATGAAACCCAAAGTTATGGACTAAATTAACTCAGTAGATGTTTTGGAAGGATGGCCCATAGACTGAGGGAATGATATCTGTGAGACCCGGAAAAAGGGGTGATGATTGCTTAGAATGTATTTGAAACCTGAGCATAAAGTCAGTGGTATGGAATGAGGGGTGGAGACTGTTCTGGTTTCATCCAGGATCGAGTTAACCTTCGTTGGGCTGAGAGGGCGCACAGGTAGAGGGCTGGGTCCAGACTGATCATTGGAGTATTCCATATTATGTGACATCATGCTCAGTATATAAGGGGACACATTCTCTCTCATTTTAGTTTGGTTTAGGTTTCCTGGTCAACAGTGGGATTTCTGGTGTGCTCAGGTTTTCTGCTGGGGGCTGGCTGCATAACAGTGACTGGTCAGTGAGCTACTGCTGTATTTTACATGTTCGGACTTACTATTGTTACTGGGTTTTGTTACTTCTACTACTCTTTTTTTTTTTTTTTTTTTTTTTTTTTTTTTT